AAATGCACATTACATAAGATTTAGCATCTTAATCATTTCACTTGTGTGTTTCAGTAGTTACCTACAGTTACATTTCTGTGCAACCAATCGCCAGAACTATTTTTACCTTGCAAAATTTAAATTCTGTAGAACCATTGTACAATACCCCTGGCAACAACCACTCTACGTTTCATCTCTCTGAATTTTCTTTTTGTTGTTGTTTTTATTTTTGAGACAGGGGCTGCTATGTCATTCAGACTGGCCTCAAACTCACTGTGATCATTCTGTCTCTGTCTCCCGAGGGCTGGGATCCCAGGCGTGGGCCACCACATCCGGCTTGTTATAGTGCTTTTTATAGTAGCTGTACGTGCTATTTTATACCTTGCTTTTTCCACTTAGTGATCTATTTTGGAGACTTATCCATGTCACTATATAAAGATCTAGCTTATTTGTTTTGAAAAATAATTTTTGAAGTTTAATATATGTACAGAAAAGGCACACATAAATGAACAACTTGATTAAGTGTTTTGTGCTTTTTTTTTTTTTTTTTTTTTTTGGTACTGGGGATTAAAATCATGACCACGTGCTTACAAAGCAGGCACTTAGGCTGCTGAGCTAAATCCCCAGCCCTGATTAAGTGTTATAATATAAACAGCTGGGTATTCTTTTTGGCAGTGCTTATATCAAAATTGGAATGATACAGAGTTGGGCGTAGTGGCACACACTTCCAATGCTTGGGAGGTTGAGGCAGAAAGATCGCTGTGGGCTTGAGCTACACAGTGAGTTCGAACCTAGCCTGAACTACATAGGGAGATACACCCCAAAATTGGAGTGCTATAGAGTAGTATAGTTAGGGCCTGGGGATTTAGCTCAGCAGCATAAGCACCTGCCTTGCAAGCAGGCGGTCGTGAGTTCAATCCCTAGTAGCCATAAAAAGTTAAAAAAAAATAAAGAGCAAATAGAGTAGTATAGTTATTACAGTTTGTGTCTAGATGTCCTCTCAAAACCCCATGCACTTTTTTCCCCATGTACTTTTAGATGGGCTTTTTTTGGTGGTAGCAACTCTAGGATTAAAGGTGCTGGGATTAATAGTGGGTGATTGCTGGATCAGTCCACTGATGGGTCTGGTATCACCCTAATCCCAGTAGACTGGATTCAATATAAGGAATAGAAAGAGGCTTATCTCATTTCCTCTCTTGCTGCTTTTGCTCTCTTCCCCCACCATGAGCTGTTGCCTCTCTGCCATGTGCCACCCTGCCCTGGAACCAGCTAATTATGAACTGAAACTTCTATAAACTGTGAGCTAAATAAACCTTTTCTCCTTTAATGCTGGGTATTCTATATTTTATTTCAGCAACAAGAGAAAAGTAACTAAGACAATGCCCCTGCACAAAATTGGCTACAATTTTGTGGGGCATTCCATAGGTTTTATTATGTTTTCTCTTATATAAGAAATCCAATTATAAACAAGGAGTAAAAGGCAGACCTTGAGAATAGGGAAAGGAATTCAGGGGAAGGGAGAGTACAGGGCCATGGTGGTGAACCTATGGCATGCATGTTATTGTGTTTTTCTTTTAAGAAAAAGATGATAATGTAGTTTTTTTTTAAACCAAAACCTCAGTGTTCAATTTAATGCCAGTGTAGGCACTTCGAGATAAATAAGTGGGTTCTGGGTTGCAGTTTGGGCACTCAGTATCTAAAGGTTTTGCCATCACTGGAGGGGGAGAAAGGGTACTAAAATATGAAGAGTATATATATGTATATATCCCAAAAATAATATAATTATTTTTTAGCCCAGACTGGCCTCAAACTCATAGTGGTCCTCCAGCCTCAACTTTCAGATTGCTGGGATGACAAGCATGTGCTAAAAGTCCAGCTAAGCATGTAAATGTCTTGTGTTATAAACACATATCAAACACAAAAAACAAAAGTACCTTATCCAGGTTTGGCTGGATGTATCCGTATCCCAGCTACTCTGGAGGCTGAGGCAGGAGGATCACAACTGTGTTCGAGCCCAACCTGAGCAACTTAGTGAGACCCTGCCTCATTTAAAATGTTTGGGGCTGTATCTCAGTGCTAGGGCACTTACTTGGGATGCACAAGACCCTGAGTTCCATCCCTGGTACCAAAAAACAAAAACAAAAAGAGTAGAAGAAGAAAAACGACCAAAGAATATGCCCATTCTCCCATATAACCCTAGTACTGATTCAACATTTACCACAATGGCATGTGGAAATGCCTTCTCCTCATTCCTTGTGGAGCAGGAATATATCCATGACATGCTACATTAAAAAAAGGAGTTTTCAAGGCTGCCAACCTTACAGTAGAGGTTGAGTGGTAGTATATTTCTCCTACATTAAAAAAAACAAAAAACAAACAAACAAAAAAAACAAACATTTACCACAGTGCCTATAACATTGTTACAGAACAGAACCTGATCTATACCTTGTGTGCCAGTTTCCCAACTGTCCCAACAACATGCTTTGCCACTGTCTCTGCTCCATCCTGACTCCTATTTGATATTCATGTATTTTTCCTCTTCAATCTCCTTTAATCTAGAATAGGCCAAGCTAGGCATGGTGGCACATGGTGCCTGTAGTCCCAGCACTTGGGAGTTTGAGTCAGGAGGATTGCTGTGAGTTTGAGGCCAGCCTCAACTACAAAGTGAGTTCAAAGTCAGCCTGAACTACACAGTGCTAAAAAAAAAGATAAACAAACAAAAACAGCAACAACAAAAACGGAACAGACCAGCCAGCACAGAGGGTGGATACTAACATTGAACCCAGGCTCATCATACTGAGCTTTAACCCTCAGCCCTTTTTATTATTTTAAGACAGACCCTCACTGAGTCTCTAAACTGCCCAGACAGGGATTCAATTTGGGATCCTCCTCCCTCGGCCTCCGGAGTACCTGGAATTACAGGGGTACATCACCATGGCTGGCTTGGGTAATGCATTTCTGACAGGAAAACCACAGAAGCGACACCATGTCCTTCTCAGATGGCACATTTGTACTAACTGATTTGTCCCAAGCTTGGTGACGTTAACTTCTATCAGCCGGTTAGGGGAACGTCTGCTAGTTTTTTCCATAACATTATTTTTTTCCTCTATGAGTAATCTGTGGGCAGACACCCTGAGACTAAATAATAGACTCTTCCTCCTCAAAACTTTCACTGGATGGTGTAGACCTCTACTGCAGATCCTTGCCAGAATCTTATATTTAACATTCCAGGCCCATCAAAAACTCTCGGAGAACCCCAGGCGTCTCTGGACCCTGAGCAGGAGCAGGGTGGGCTGGGAAGACTGAACAAGGTAGCCAGAGAGCTCTAGCGGGATGCAAATTCATCCCTACAGTGGCTGAGGACGACTAGGGACCCACAGAGCTCAGCAATTTGGTGAAAAACTGAGGGGAGTAGGAATTCATGCCCTCATCCCACAACTATGTAAAGAAGGCCCACTTTGAGCCAGGCACTGTTTTAGGCCCTCAGGCTCAGCAGTGAACAAAAGAGATCAAATCCCAGCCCCACTGGAGCCAGGACCGATGGGAGGATTCAAAAGAAATACACAAATGAAAGGAATACTGTGTATGCTATGTTTCATCATGATAGGGAAAGACAGCTAGAGCCCAGGAAGGAGATAGTGAGTAACAAGGCACCTCCTGGGTAGAAAAGCCGGCTCCTTTTCCCCCTCATCTCCCCTCCAGTGGGTCTCTGTGTCTGTCATCTGCCAGAAACTCGGGCTGAGCCAAGTGCACTCACAGACGCCATCTGTTCTCCCCGGGAGTGGGGCTTGTGCCAGCTCCTGCGTCTGGACTCTTGGCACGGTGCCCCAGAGCCCTAGAGCGAGGGAACTCCGGCTGGCCCCACATCAGGCTGGGGAATCCTCACGTGTGGCCAGATGGAGGGCTTCTGAGAAGGGAAGTCCGGTGCGCGCTGGGTGGGCTCCCCGAAGGACGTAGGGGCTTGCAGGGGCAGGAGAGTCCCTCCGTCCTCCTGATGAAGATGGATGTGAATAATATTCATAAACACTTCCTACATGGTCCAGCCCCACTGGGTAAATGTCGGACACTGGTTATCAAGCCCAGTCTAAACACTTTATGTCTGTTATCATATTTAGGAGGCAGGATAGGCTTCCATTTTTCAGACGAAGAAAGCGGGATTCACAGAGGTGAAGCCGTTGTGCTGAGGTTACACAGCAAGGGCCTTGATGAACCTGGAAAGGAATCAGATCTGGGTGGATCCAAACCCTGACTGATGAACGTCATCTTTACCACCTGGGCATCCGTACAGCGCTGCCTCCTGGGCCTCACCTCTCAGGCCCCTTTTCTGGGAATCGCTAACTCTGCCACCTTCCTCTCCTTCCCTTCCTCTTCCTTCTGTTTGTATTGGTTTGGCTTTTTGGGTGAGCCAGCTGGAGGCTTGAGGTCCCATAGGGTCTTACTATGTATGTATGGCGAGCCTCCTGCCTCAGCTTCCCCAGGGTTGGGATTCCAAGAGTGCACGAGTACACCTGCGCACCCTGCCTTGTGCCTCTGCTTTCTTCCCTCCCTCCCCTCAGGTGAGCAAGGGACCTGGCCCTGGGTTACAATGGGCTGGTTCTGGTACCAGCTGTTTATTTTAGCCACTGAGAAATCCGTTTCTCCATAAAAGTAGAGCTACTGAGATAAAGGAGAGCTACTGAGAGCAGTGACTGCAATGGGGAAAGCAAAGCACTGAACACAGGGCCTAGGCTTTCCTCTGCGGACTAGCAGTGTGCTCTGAGGCAAGTTACCTAACCTTTCTGTGCTTCCTCCCTGCTGGGTAAAACAGGATAATAAATGGTAGGATAATAAATCCTGTCACGATTGTTCCAAGGAATAAACGTGAACGCGTGCCTGTAAAGTATTTGCTGGCCACAGCCATAGTTGTTGTTATTATTACTGGTTATTACTGGGCAGCAAGGGTTGTGGGAGGGGAGGCGGCGCTAAGGCAAGAAGAATCAGGGACGCCCCCTCCAGCGGGCAGCAGCGCTTAGGCCTGGTTGGGGTGGTGGGTGACGCGCCTGCAGGCTCTGGGACCAGGTTCAAGGTTCGGTCCGCAGCTCCGCCGAAGGGCGGGGCCAGGGACACTCGCCCCGCCCCCGCCCGCCCCAGCACGCTGCGGCCAGGGGCGCTAAGACCGGAGCCCGAAGAGCTCACGCAGACCCGGGACCCCCCCACCCCCCGCCTGGCCCCGAGCGCCGGCATTGCTGGGTGTGCGCGGCCCGTAGGTGGCAGGCAGCAGGTGGGGGGGGGGTTGTGCTGGATGCGGGGGCCGGGTGCGGGGGTGCGGGTGGGGGGTGGGGGTGGGCAAGAGTTCTTGCTCTGACGGTGGGCTGCTAGCGATGCGAGAAGGTGGGGACATCATCCCAGTCCAGGGTCCTGGCTTTGGAAAGGGGATGCAAATGTTTGGGTGAAGAAATGGGCCCTGTGGAGATTTGGGGTGAGCCAGCTGGAGGCTTGAGGCCCCTTCAGGGGATGTAGGGCGAGAAGAATCTTTCTGGTTGGTTGTACCCATGTACATACGTGTGCTTGGTTGATTACAAGGTCAGGTGTGCAGTGGAGGATGGGGTAAAACCAGGTGTCTGCAGAGCTGGCAGGTGTATGGTGGGGTCGCAGATGTGAGCGGAGTGTGTGTGTGGGGTGCTGGACCCAGATGCGTGTTTGGAGCAGTTGTGCAAGGGGAAGTGATGGGAGCTGTGAGTGAGGTGGTATGGGGGGGCTTTATGGGGGAGGGGGATGTGTATGGTTTCCACTACTGAGGGTTAGGAGTGTGTGTGCAACAAGGTGCTTGGGATGAAGATTATACGAAGATTGTGGCTGGAGAGCGATGTTTCTTGATCCTGAGCTGATCTTGTCTGGGGCGTGTTCAGAGGCCTTTGGGTGAAGGATAGAGTGGAAGGTGGGGCCTTCCCTATTTGGCAGGGCCCTTGAGTACTCAGGGTGTGCAGGTGGGTGGTAGTGTGGACTAGAGTGAAGAGGGGATGTCACCGGGGATGAAGGATGGGTGTGTGTACTGAGGAGGGGTATGTGGCCTGGAGGGCAGGGGTGGTTCATGGGGTCAAGTGTGTAAGGCACACTTTAAAATAAGCATGCAACAGGTATGTGGGGTTTTTGCTTGAAAGAGAAGTCCAGAATTGGACATACAGACTCCTGAGTTCTCTTTATAACTAGGGCCAACCTCTTTTATTCTCTGGGCCTCAGTTTTCCTATCTGAAAAGTAGGTCTGAGGACCATTGAACTAACTCTTCTCAACCTGAGACTCTTTCAAGTCAGGGGATGGTTGAAGGTGAGCCCATTTCTCAACTTGTATTTGTCTTCCTTGTGCCCCCAGGAACGCCATCAAGAGTATTCCCCCAGCCATGGATAATCCTAGTCTTCAGGAGCTTCAAGAACCTCTGCTAGCAGGCACGGCCTGTGACCCCCTGGCCCAGAAGCCTGGCAGACTTGAGATGGGGTCCCCCTTAAGGGAGACAGCCTTTGCAGAGTCGCTGAGGGGTTGGCACTTCCCACCACCTCTTCCCTCTGTGAGTGCTGACCTGGGAGAGCCAGGGTCTCTGGACCTCGAGGTAGGAACAGCAGGCTTCAGTGGAAGCTGGGGAAAGGGTTAGGGGTGCAGCCAGCTTGGCAGGCCGGCAACTGGAGCGATCCGCCTTAGGCCTGGTGTCTCTTCCCAAGTGTGTGTGGGCCGCTGGGACTCCTGGTTATCCTGTTTCCCTGGTTTTCTCTCCAGATTTCTCTCTCATCCATCTGAGGTCTTAATTCCTCTGTTGTCTGCCTCTGGTGTGGTGGTCCTGGTCTCTTTTCAGGTTAATGTTTTTTGTGTTTTGATTGGGTTTTTGTATTGGGGTTTGAGCAAAGCAATGTGCTACATCTTTAGCCTTACATTTTTGTTTTGTTTTTTGAGAAAGGGTCTAAGGTGCTCAGGCTGCTCTCAGACTTGGAATCCTCATGCCTGTTTCCCAAGTACCTGTGATTACAGGCATGTACCACACCTGGCTTGTAAGACTTTTTACTTTTTACCTAGGATATAGAGTTTTCAGCAGGCAGGCTTGTGCTAGTAAGTTAGGGCATTAGAGCATTTTATAATTTCACTCTTTTGGTAGGTTCCTGCTCATGATGTTATCTATTTCTTTTTAAACTCAAGAGATTACAAGTTGTGTATGAATCTCTTGAAGAAACTCAAAACTTTTGAGTGTGGCTGGGAGTCTTTTGGAAGATAAGGCCAACTTGGCTTCCAAGGAACCCAAGATCTAGACAAGCTCCAGGTTTACCTTTTTGTACATTTTTGTGTCTCTCTGGAGGCCCTAGAGAAGTACTGGCCTTGCTGATTGGGAACAGACCAGTGGGGAAGAATGGAAAATGGAGATGCCCACTCAGGCCCTCTCCTGTCCACAGGACACATCATCCAGTGACACTGACTCAGACTGGGATGGGGGCGGCCATCTCTCCCCACTTCTACCCCATGATCACCTCGGCCTGGCAGTCTTCTCCATGCTGTGTTGCTTCTGGCCCGTGGGCATCGCTGCCTTCTGTTTGGCTCAGGTCAGTCCGTGTGTGGGACTGGGAGGGTACTGGCACAGTGACAAATGTTCCAACGAACAAAAACACACAATCCAAGAAGAGTCATGCCTGAGGGCAGTGAAGGAAAGGATGGTGAGAAGGATCCACACAGGAACCTTCATGGGTAAAATGAGGCAAGTTTCACAGAATCCAGGGTGGTAGTTAAGAATCTGAACTTCAAATCCTGGGTCAGCCATCCTTTGTAGGATTCTAGGTAAAAGCTACTTGTGTGTGGCTTTTCTTCCTTTGTAAAATAGGAATAATTTCCACCTCATGATCATGTGAATCAAGTGGGCTATAGTGGAGTATTTTAAGAAGCATAAAATATGTTTTATTAGTCACCCAGCATCTCTGCTGCCCAGCTCAGCCTGATCCAATCCATGGGAGGCACTCCATGGCTTTGGAATAAGCCAGTGGATGAATGAGTGCATCCTTATACCAGGTTTGGGAGGATTCAGCAAACGGGTCTAGGGCTGTGGGAATCAAGATGGAGATAAGGGGACACCTGGGTCACCACTGCCCACTGCCTCTACAGACCAACAAGGCTTGGGCCAAGGGGGATATCCAGGGGGCAGGAGCCGCCTCCCGCCATGCCTTCCTGCTGGGGGTCCTTGCTGTTGGCCTGGGCCTGTGCACATATGCAGCTGCCCTGGTGACCCTGGCCGCCTATCTTGCCTCCCGAGACCCGCCCTAATTGCCTCTCCGGCTCCCATTGTGAACCCAGAGGCCGGAACCCCGGAGTGCACACGAGCAGAAAGTGGAGAATCCTGGTGTGTGACATGGCGGCAGCAATATCACTGAGAAATAAGCTGGAGACCTCTCCCCTCCCTAGCCACCGCTCACCAGGCCACAGCAACGTGAGAAATTAAACGAGATACCCTTGCAGCCAAACCTGTGTCTGTCCTTTGTATTGGGGATGTCCGGGAGTGTGTGGTACCTGAGACCAGGAGGGTCCATCAGGGTGACAGCTGAAAGAACTCAGCTGGGAGGAATCGGGGCTTGGAAGGTTTTCACGTGGAAAAATGTTCTTTACAAACAGCAATTAGTGGACAGGGACAGTGAGCTGGGTTGGAGAGCCTCACTCATCCACCTGGTCACCATGTAATCTTGTCCAGCCACGCTTTTCTTTCGTGTGCATAATGGGGCTTGACATTCTCCACACCTTGAGCAGATAAGGCTTAAATGCATCCTGTAGGTAAATGGCCATGTGCTGTGTTCCTCCCGGTCAGCTCCAGCAGCTGTAACAGGAGGGAGGAGCACGGAGGGAGAACTGTATCTGGGCTCATATGGGGTATTTGTTCTCTGCATCCCGTGGCCTCTACTCTTGCTTCATTCTGTGCCAGCAGCACCCCTATCTTGGGGAGAAAATGGCCCCAGAACTCAGGCAGTGCAAGTGCTGCTTCCTAGATCCGTCTTCCCCTGCCTGGGGCCTGAGGCACCATTCAAATCACAAGGGCCACACTTGGCAGGGACAGGACTTTCAGAAAACAAGAAGGTATCAAGCAGATCATGTCAGCACAGCACTGAGGCACAGAGGAGCTAGTCACTGAAGGGGTTCTATTATCCAGGGTAAGAGATGGGCAGATCAGCTGTTTAATGCTAGAAAATACTTCCCCACTTAAAGTGTTTCTCTGAGCATCTAATGAAGCATTATTTCAAGCTAGGTATTTGCGTATTTCCCTCTTGCTTCCTGGGGACAAGGATGCCTGGCCACTAGAGCACACAACGGGGTTCTGTGAGCTAATTCAAGTCATGGAAACACACAGCAGAGGACCTGATGTGTGAAATTCTGGCCCCAGTGTTAGGTCTGCTGGTCCCGCCCCCTTGTGGCCCAGCTGTGGGACACTTGCTTTTGTATTTGGCCCATCCACTCACTGTCCTGTGAGGTGGGGAGCAGTCCACCTGCAACTTATTTCCAAACACTTATTTCCTCCCTCATTATTTCCAAACACTCCTAGGCGGTGTTACTAGCCCTGAACACCAGTGAGCTTTGGGTGGGAAACTCCCAGTGTGTTAGTGTCTCTTTGGGCCCTGTCTCAACAGTGAGGTACTGGGCTCAAGTGGGACTCTAGTTCCACAGCAAGTTACCTAGAGACTATAAGCAGCTAACGAGCTTCTGAGCTGATGTCATCTTTAAGTAGGGACTGTAATGGGTAAATGGGCAGGTTAAAGGTGTACTCCAGGCCAGACCCTCCTGTGGTCCATGAGGCCCAGTGTTTATACTCTCTCAGTCCCCCAGACTGGCCCATCTCCCTCTCACTTTGCTCACCGGACACCAGCCGCAACAGCTATCTGGCTAGCCCTTGACCCATGAGGGATCTCCCCCATGTTATCTCTCTTTTTTTCAGGGCTCCACTCAGATGTCACCCTGCTCGAGAAGGTGTCCCTGGCCTGTGTTATATTTGCCATTCCCAAACCGAGCTTCCAAACTAGTTTCCCACCTATTTTTATCAGAGCATTTACTATCCTCTGAAAAAGTACAGTACATTGCTCCTAACTCAGGGCCTGGGTCTCTTGTTCACTGGAATTCTGAGCACCCAGTGCTGAGGCCTGACACTGAGGAACTCAGTAGGCACCGACTTACTGCTTCAATACTGGTGAGCTTCCTTTAATGTTGTTTTTATGGAGGGGCAGGGATCATGCCCTGCTGGTCCATGGATGTGAGGGATCAAGGTTCTGTTCCTAAGCCCCCTTCCCAGGAGACCCAGCAGCTTTGGGACTGGGCACATGGGGACAGACGTAAGGCTGGGCTGATGGCTTGCTTCAGGCTGAGCCAGTGGGTGGTGGTGACAGTGGGCACAGTGCCCTGCCCTGGCTTGCTTCAGCTCTTGGAATAGCGCCTCTGCAGTGACTCGCGGTAGAAGCGGAAGACGTGTTGTGAGGCAGTCTGGGCCGCAGCCAGGCACTGCTGGAGCTGGGAGGAGAAAGGCTGGTCAGTGCTGGGTACCCTGCCCTATACCCACCTACCCACAGCCCAGCTAGCCCAAGAGGTCCTCCAGCCCCACAGACCTCCAACTCCCCCAAATCTACCAGCCCCTCTTGCCATCTCAGGTGAGGCAGAAGTGGTAAGGGGATTATTTCACATGCACTGGAGAGACCTTAACCTTGTAGAACTGAGGGGCCTAAAAGCTCACAGAACTGGAGAGATCTTGGAATTCAGAGCTACAGAACCAAGGGCCCTTAGATCTTTACAGTCATAATCCTAGATTTATAGGATGGCCAGGTTAGAAATACTCCTGGAAGCTGGGTGTGGTGGTGCACTTCTGTAATCCCAGCACTAGGGAGGCTGAGGCAGGTGGATCGTTACAAGTTCAAGACCAGCCTGGGCTACAAAGTGAGCCCAAGGTGAGCCTGAACTACACAATGAGACCCTGTCTCAAAGACCAGAAAAAAAAAAAAAAAAATCTCCTGAAGACCATTTGGCCCACTAGTTCCAAATTCTGATCCATAGAGACCCACAATTTCAAGCAGGTCACTACCCTGAGCTGGGGCTGTGTGCTGCTCTGCTGCCTGCTTTCAAACAGCACTCCCTCTCTTTTCTTCTCATTCACTGAACTTCCCTCCAAAATTTCCACAAAGGGGCTGGGGATTTAGCTCAGCGGCATAAGCACCTGCCTTGCAAGCAGGCGGTCGTGAGTTCGATCCCTGGTACCGATAAAATAGAAAAAGACAAAAAGACAAAAAAACAAAACAAAAAAAACCACAAAAAAACCTCAAAATTTCCACAGGTTTCTACACTTACAAAGCCTGAAAACTTCCCTCTCTTTTATAGACAGGGTACAAGGAAGGGGTCCTCCTCCCCAAGCCTCTCAGCATGCAGGAGAATTGTGTCAGATGTCATTTCGGGGTAGGAGGTTCTGTCTTTCACCCCTATCTCCCCACTGGCACCTCAGCATCAGAATAGAGCCCTTTGGTGGTAGACATCAGCAGCTTCCGGTCCACACTGTCAAGAGCAAAAGTCAGGACTGCCCGGGCTTCCTAGGAATAAGGAGAAAAAGGTGACGGAGATAAAGCCCAGTGCCAGGGAAGATCCCACAACTTTGGCCTAAAGGCTTCACCTTTCCTCACTCAGTGCTAAAATACCAACTGTGGTTATCTGTCTACACACTACCACACCCTGGGAAACCATTCTCTTTGCCTCTCCTTTGTAATTGCTCAACTCCCTCCTTCTGACCACAGCATTTCTGCCCCATAGCGGGAGCCGCAGTGCTGGTCATTTACCTGGTGCCTCTGCCTCCCACGCTCTGGGAGGCAAGGCCTAAGCTTTCATTCCCGTACTCTGAAAGTCTCAGTCTCCTTTGGGTTACACAGGGCCAGTTGACTATATTTTCCAGACTCCTTTGCCATTAGGTTCTATCAGCAATTGGGTGAGACCAGGGAAGCTGAGCGAAGCAAGCCAGTCCTCATTCTGACAACTGCCCAGAGGAGGTGAGGTGGGTTCTGCATTTCTGCAGCCAGGAAAGGCAGGACATCTTTTTGTGCATTCAGAACCAGGTGCCTCAATGTCTCCAACAGGGCAGGAGCAGGAGCCAGCATACAGTTCAGCCTGAGGCCAGGAGAAGCTTCAGGTACCATCCTTTCTTCCCATTTTGCTTCCCCAACTCTTCCAATACTTTTTCTACCAATCCTCTGTATGAAACCCCCTCTGTCCAAAGTATCCCACAGGGTATCTCATTTTTCTGAATGGTTATGACCAAGGCAGTACTGGGCAGAAAACTCCACAGAATAAGAACCTTGAGATATTGCGAACTGGAGCTGATGAGAAGAAATGTCTTACATTCCCCTTTGCTTTTGAGCCTCTTAACAGGGAAGTATAAACTTGGAGTTGATAATCCTAGCCTCAAGAAAGATGGTGGCCAGGGAAAGAAGCCAATTTGCAGAAAAAAGCAGGCACAAGTTAGGCCTAGTGGCACATGCCTGCAATTGTAGCACTTGGGAAGTTGAAGCAGGAAGATTGCCACAAGTTTAAGACCAGCTTGTGGTACACAGTATGACTGTGACCTTACCTCAAAAAAAGGAGAGAGAAGAGAAAAAAGCAGCCACAAGAAATGAAGCTAGGAAATAGTGTTTGAAGTCCTGATTTTAGGTAGACCTCTGCTCTTTCAGAGTATGGGAATGAAAGCCAATACATTCCTTGTTTGGCTTGAGCAAGTCTAAGTTGGAAGTTCTAGCACTTGCAGCTGAATGAACTCTGCTAAGTAGAGGACTGCTTGCCAACTAGTGCTGAAGTGCACTGAGCCAGATGACTTGCAAAGAAACAAGTCCTGGTGCTATCTGGCCACAACCCTTTCGCCACCCTGAATTTCATACCTACCTTTTCTTGCTTTGCTGTGGGATCCAACACCAGTGTCCCATCTGAGTCCAGAGCACAGGTGACTCCACAGAAGAGAGCCCGCATGGGAATACCTGCATCTACCAATGCCATGCAGGCAACATTCAGGCAACAAGCCAGGAGCTGAGTACCACAGGAGCAGTTAAGAGGAGTGCTTACTATGGGGCTGGCATGTAGAACACATCCATGTCTGTATCTTCCCCACTAATCAATCACAGAATTGTAGAGTGAATAAATAGCTGTGGGATCAAGGAACCCCAATTCCATATGTGGCCTTACCACCTCTTAGCTGTGTGACCTTGAGTAAGTTGACTTATTCTGAGTCTCAGTCTCCTTTTGGGTTACACAGGGCCATGTTACCTAACAGATGTACACTAAATTAGGTACCAAGCTTCTGCAAAACAGGGTGAGAAAGAGAGCAAGAAACCTCCCAAGGTCACAAGGCAGGAGGCAATGGTAACACCAGGCTGGGCATGGGAATTGTGGTTAGCAGGCAGCCACTATACCAGGCAATGGAGTCATTATTACTGCTGCCCCAGCAGGTTTACGTCCTGGAACCAGTCAACTGGCTCTGCCTGTTTCCTCATGCCTTTCCCAGGATTAGCAGGGTGGACAAAAGCTCTAGCTTTAAAATCTATCAGTTCAAACTCTGCTACTGATCCCTGGTTACTTCCTCCGAGCTTCAGTTTCCACTTCTGTAAAAGGGGCACAACAGCACTTGTCTCCTCTCCCTCCACCCGTGCCACGTGCAAGGGCACACACCAGCGGCTCCCTCTAGAAATGCCCATGGAAACGTCACTCATCTAAACCACAGTGATCTTTCCAGGTTGAGCTAGCTCTTCACCCTGCTTCTCTGCCTGCCAAGGACTCCCTCAGTCCTAAGAGCCTGAAACCTCACACTAAGGTAGAGAGTGGAGGTCACAGGGATAAGCTCTGGAGTCAGACAGGCCTGGGCTTGAGGCCTGCCTCTGCTACCTTCCAACTTGGGCAAACTACTTCCCTTTCTGGGTCTTTCACTTGAACATATCCCACAGTGTTCTACAGCCAGGTGATTTGGGCCCACTTAAACAGGGGTTATAACGGCACCTGGTTTATGTGCTGTGAGGATTAAATTAGTATGTAGAAGGTACTTAGTAAACTGCCTGGCACACAGTAAGCAACCACGTGTCACATTCTAGGGCTAGTAGAAGGGAAGCTATCAGGGAGGGTTGGGAGCACTTCCTGGAGGCAGCTGGGGAAAAGGATACGGAGCCAGCATCGCTGATGACCTGTAGCACCACTGTGATAGAGGTGCGGGGGTGCAGGGCTCCTAGCACCACTGCTTCACATGTGTTTCGGATTAGTCGCTCTCGACTCTTCTCAGCCACACCTGGGGAAATCAAGGAGTAGTAGTTAGGCTCTTTGCTTTTACCCATCTCACCCTCCTCCACTTGCCCTACCCTCTGGAGGAAAGCCCTCTTTTTGGGGTCTACAGAGTCAGTGTGGTACATCACAGGACCTGTGTGGGTGACAGGGTTCACAGCAGGAAGTATACAAGGTCTGAATGCCATCTACTCAACACTGCTATCCTTAGCCTCCACCAATGGGGCTGCTAACTATCCAGGTGTGGTTGTGTCTTGGGCAGCTGCCCACAGCCACTCCAAACTCAGTGGGCCCAGCTGATAGGGAATGATGATAGGGTAAAAAGCAGATTAAAGCAAAGAAAGGGAGACGGAGATGAAAAGAGAAACAAACTGAGACACAGAAGCAGAAAGTGGAGAAAGGCAGAAATAACTGCGGGAAGGTGGGGACTGGGGGACAGATGAGACAGCAGGGACAGCAGGCAGGCAGGAGCCAGCAAGGTCCTGACAATCTGGACGGGCAGTGGTTCATTCGGGTCCAGTTACCAGGCAACCCGATTTTCGGCCTCAGGATCACTTCGAGGGTGGCTTTGTTGAAGATCTCTTTGCTGACCTTTACCTCTGCGGGTCCATACACACCAGCCAGGACAGAGGTATCACCTGGGGAGACAGTGGAGAAGGGCTCAACCATACCTTCCCTGCTTCTAGGTCCAGTGTGCAGCTCCTAATATTACGGTCACCCCCAGCATTTGTTGGCGGTGATTCTTCAAGCAGCACTTTACTTATCTGTAATGAGGTAACAGGTAACAGAGGTACGTCCCTCATAATGTTCTTGTAACAATTTAATAGAATTCACCAAAATATTTACACTGGTATACACATACCACAGTCTTTACTGTATTAGTAACTTTAATTGGAAGTTCTCCCTAAAAGCTAACTTTCCTCTCACTGTAGGTGGTTTTAACTTCTCTTTCCAAAGCTTCCGCCAGCGTGCTTATTTCCCCAGAGTGGATATGAACAGGTGAGGCAAGGTAAGAACGGGGAAATAAAAAGCCTGGCCTCCAGTCTGGTTCACCTGCTCTTGGCTCTGTAACCCCAAATGATTTTGCTAACTAACCTCTCTGGGCCTCAGTTTTACCATCTGAAAATGAAGATACTGGACTTGAACAGATTCTCTGACCATAACTCCCAATAAGTGATACATTTTACAGCACAAGCCAAAACTCACACAAACGTATGTGTTAATGCATCAAAAGCCGTCAAAAAACTAAAAATTCCAACTTTGCCATTAGTGCTTCAATGTACTGATATTTTCTTCTCTATTCCACTTTAAGTGAACGTTAGTTGACAGCGAGATATAGCTCAATGGTAGAGTGTTGGCTTAGCTCGCATGAGGGCCTGGGTTCACGTTGGGAGGAAGAGGTGTGGGTCGCCCTATTTAAAAGTATCCACCGTAAGTTATTCTGCATCAGCGCTGGAAGGGCATTTAGCCAACTACATCGAGAGGAGGCGGCTACTCCGTTGCACAGCACACTTTAGCCAGTCTTCAAAACAAATATGCCCTACATAAACGTGGTTTGGTCAGAATTTACCTGGGTTAGGTACTTACCTTGCAGGAAAGTAGCAGAGCCATCTGGCCGGGACAGCAGGTTCTGTTCACAAGCAAAGTGCCTGAGACTGCACCCAGAACCGCGAGAGCTAGACTCTACAATGCCAGTCTCAGTGCAGACCTTGTCGTCAGAGAGCTTCGCGCTCTCCATCACCATCTCCATCCGCCCTCACGCCACAGGCAACCCACACTGAAGCTTCCGTCTAGTCGCGTGCGTGCGTGCACTACGTAACCAGCGCGCATGCACCCATACTGGCGCCCTGTGATTTGTCCCCCGCACGTGGCTCGGCATTTATCAACAAACCGGCCCTGTCCACCCCGCCTCCTAATTCTGGGAAAGCCATTGGACAGTACCGAAGAGGGGGTGGGGCTGTGCAAGGGCTAATTCTACTCAAGGACCCTGGGTCCTAAACTGATGGTGCTCTGATTAGGTTGCCCTTTTCTTTGCCTGTTATGTGAGCTAATACATGAAAGCTATTGGGGTACTTGGAGGAAGGAAAATTGTCTCCTTTGCGCATCTATGGGTTCTAGTTTTCATATGATCGGAAGTAGATACTCTGATGTCAAGGTTTATGTAGGCATTTGAATCAGGCTCTAAAGGAGGCAGCCCCCAGTCTAGACCAGGAAAGGGGCGGATCGCTGAGTGGCGGCAAGATGGCGATAGCGGCCTGCGCGACGAGAGTCTTGGGCCAAAGCCGAGGCCTGGGCCAGGTTGCCCTTCTGTTGCTGCGGTGGCCTGGGGTTCGGGGGTTGGCTAGATCTGTGAGTACCGAGCTCCTAGGGGTTTCTCCTTAAGTGTAAGTGGGACATAAGGGTGATTTGTAAAGCGTGGTGCACGGCGTGAAAGGGCAGTTACGTGAGGGGGAAGGACTCGGAGACCAGTAGGAGAGGAGTCTAAAGGGAAGGAGAGGAAAGGGAGACAGCTTGGAGAGTGAACTGGAGCCTCCTTATTCGTTGCCGTCCAGCCCACAGCGGAGGCCCCTTGGAGGCACACGACAAAGCAAAGAGACTTTTTCCCTCAGGGATCGGAGAATGGCCTGACTTAGTTAGGAGACACTTTCTTCTGAGTAAAGAGGCCTATGGAAAGAAAAAGTAGAGATAGGTCCCTGTCACAGGCTTTTGTAGGGCTTTGCATCCCTTTGTTATTTTCTCTCATTTCCAATTTTAGGATGAATTGCGTAAGAAATTTGTTTGGTTCCCTTATCCTTCCCTGATCGGAAGTTAGGACAGGGAATTTCATGTTGTGTTTATTGTACAGAGGAGTTGATCAGTAGGTGTTTATTGAATTAATAGATAAAAAGAAGGAGGGCCAGACAAAGGTTTTTGCTCACATTTTAAAAAACACTTGAGAAAGCTTTGTTTTTATTAAGAGGGCCAGAATCCCTTTAGGTAGGTGCTGCCAAGGGCAACATCTTGCTGGGATTAAAAAAAGATCTAGTTGAGGGCTAGTGATGTCGCTCAGTAGATTTCTAACCTGACCTGTGGGAGGCCCTGGTGTTGATCCCCTGCTCTCCAGTAAAGTACGAAACATTACGAAAAGAAAATAATTCTAGTTGGAAGGCACAGTTTAGCACAGCAATAGCAGTGATACAAAGGGAATGACACTCCCAACCTACTGTATGTCCGGTAGGAGTTTGTGTTCTCTAAAATGAAAGAATGAATTTTAGGAAAAACGGAGGTTAAGAGCAAAATTAGATTTACCGAGAGAAAGAAAGCTTTGTCTGAGGGATGGACGCTTTCCCAAGCAGGTTGCCAAAGACTCTTGGCTTTTCTAGTAAAACCATGAGGTGAGACAGGTCAGAGGTGAGGAAAACTTGGAACTCGCAAAGTGGGCGAAAGGCGGGACAGAACTGTGGTTAACCAATAAGATTAATTGTTCAGGTAAAATTGATTAAATTGTGAACAAATGGGGAAGTGAGTCACGTAGTAAGCGGCCTGCTTAACAGCAGTGATTCTTCCTGTAGGGGTTTGAGATGGTGACTCCTGACTTCCACAGGGTGATAGAGAACTAGTTCAAATATCAATCCTTAGGATACAGGTGTATTTGTTTGATCTTTTGTCTTGAGACCTGGCCCATAGCCTCCCCCACAGTGCAAGGTATCTGGGCTTCTGCACTGGCTCCTTTGAGGACCTACCCCTGTCTGGCTGCCTGTTGTATTTCTGACTCAGCTGCCTGTAACAGCAGCAGGTAGCAGAAGAGCTTTGAACTAGAATCCCAGAGTTGGACTGGTTAAGTGGGTGGGTTTTGAAGCAAACTATGTGCGCATCCCTCCTCTGCCATTTTCCAGTTGTGTAGCTCTGGGCTAGAGACTGCATCTTATTCCTCCTTAGACCTAAATGCTCTCCTCTCTAAAATGGTACTAGTGGTCACCTTAGAGGGATGATCTGCTTAAAACTGGACCCAGGACTTTATAAAAGCAGTAGGAATATTGGCTATTGTTGCTGGTGTGGAGAGAAGGGACAGAAATTGGAGACTGGAAGAGAAAGGTGGTAGTGATGGGGATAAGGTAGGGGAGTGGATTGGCAGTGATCTGGGGAAGAATTGCAATCTTTAATCAACATCTTGGAAAATAGTGTCTGACTCTTTGATGCCAATTCATTAAACAAGGAAGATAGTATTTGTGGGAAGAAGCTCAGGGTAGGAGGAGAGACACAGGAGAGTGAAGAGGATAGGGCTAGGAGTGAGGTATGGGTGCCTAGGAATGAAGGAAAACATGTGAAACAGCTAAGTGTAGTAAGGGTTGCAGGAGCAGGGTAGGTATAGAGAACTATTCTGCTCCTGGGCTGTTCTTTTTGGTTTTATTTTTAAAAAGCAGTCAGTTGATATGAGTCTCAGGAGCCACTGGGTGGCACTTGGGAAGCTGAGGCAGGGGGTTCATTGCAAGATTGAGACCAGCCTGGGCTACAAAGTGAGTTCAAGGCCAGTTTTAACTGCATGGGGAGACTCTGTCTCAAAAAGAAAAAAAAAAAAGAAGCCACTGGTTGGGCAAGTGAGGTGTGAGGTGAGCAGGATGGGGTAGGCTAGTGAAAGGTCATTTGTGAGTGATTAAATCTGTGTCCTCCATGCCTCAGTCTCCCTGTTGCTGTCCCTCTTACTTTTCTTCCTCATTTATTTTTAGGAAGAAGTTGGAAGGAGAAGTCTCTAATGTACATAAAATTTTACATTTTCTTAGTCACTGTTCCCGCACCACTCCACTTCTTGCACCTGTTGTAATTTTCTTCCCAGTACTGGGGGTTGAATGCACGTCCTTGCACATGCTAGGCAAGTGGTCTGCCATTCACCTACACCCTCCAGCCCTATGTTCTAAGGTTTTTAAAAAGTCACTACTTTTTTTTAAAGTATGTATTATTATTTCTTTTTTTGCAGTACAAGAGATTGAAGCCATAGTCTGCACAGAACTGCATTCCCAGTCCTTTTTCTCTTTTCTTTTTTTTTAGTAAAGGTCTCAGGCTGGGCTGCAATTTGTAATCCTTCTGCCTCAGCCTCCAAAGTGCTGGAATTACAGGCATGCATCACTGTGCCTGGCTTAAATTCCTGTTTTTTTTTTTTTTTGTCTTTGGGACAGAGTCTCGCTGGGCAGTTTAGGCTGGCCTTGAGTTCACTTTGTAGCCCAGGCTGGTCTCGAACTTGTGGTGATCCTCCTGCCTCAGCCTCCCAAGTGCTGAGAGTATAGGCATACACCACTGCGCCTGGCAGTTCCCACCTTTATGAATGGAGGGATGAGGCAGTAATAGTCAAAGATTTGACTCTCCCATAAAACTTTCTGTGAGAGTAGACATGTTTCATATTTGCCCTGTCCAGTACAGTTGCCAGTAGCCACATGTGACTACTTTAAAGGTGATTTGTGTCTCTTTAGAATATCAGTCACTGATGTTCATTCCTAGGGAAAGTATATGCGTGAGCAGTTCCACTTTTTCTTGAAGCCTGACCTTCAGTGAATACACCTCCAGCCACAGTTATTTTTTGCACTGACCTTTTGAGGAACCAGCTCTGTCTGACTGCCTGCATTATTTCTAAATACCCTAGCTACTGATAATAAAACCATAATGCCAGACCAGTGTTCAACCGCTGAGCCAATTCCCTGCTGTTGTTGGGGCCCTTAATTGGCTTAATGTATGATTCTAAGATAGAGTATGAAACTGTGTTTTCAATGACCCTAGCAGAGGGTACTGGTTTTATAGATAAGAGAAAGGATGAAGAAAGCGGAAACAAGGAAGTGTTCCACAAAAGGACTTTCAAAGTTACTTTCTTTGTAACTTCTAGTGAGAGAGAACAATAGTAAAATAACTGAACACTTCAGATCAGGTTTTTTTGAGTGATGTTTTTTGTAAGGGTGAAAGTTTTTTTTTTTTTTTCTCTTTTTTTTTTTTTTTTTTTTTTTGAGACAAGGTCTTGCTGTGGTTTAGGCTGGTCTGAAACTCATTACTAGCCTATGCTGCCCTCAAACTCATGGTGATCCTCCTGCCTCAGCCTCAGATTATAGGCCTGTGCCATCACATCCAGCCATCAATGTCTTTTTTGATAAGGATTAAAGCAGAGAGAATTTTATTATTATGCTGCTCAAAATTAGTCCATTGAGGAAATTTGGCCCTCCTTCTTGTCTTGATTTTTCAGCTGATCAGATGACAATTTAGTTTTGGTTTGATCTCAGGGAACTTCAGCATGATGACTCCCATTTCGATTTTTATTCTAGTCTAGTGATGGTGAATCTTTTAGAGCTTTCAGTGATACAAACAGCTTGCTGCAGGAGCCTAACTCTAAACAATGCCTTATGTTGTTTTTATTTAATTAATATATGTTGCCATATCCAGCACAGTGGTCAATTTCTTGGGGGAGGAAAGTGGAAGATGAAGAAATGGAGACAAGAGTCAGAATGCAGGAAGATGAGGTCAGGTGGTACCTCCTCTCCTGATAGGAGAAAAAGAACCACATTTATTTATAAATGTCAGTTGAAACCCCTATTCTAACACCTGGTTTATCTGACCTTCCTTGGGCACCTTGTGTACTTGGGGCTGGAACAGCTTGTTTACGTCCTTGCCTCAAGTGCTCCATGTACTCTAGGCTGGCCTTGCTTTAGCCCTTTCCATTCTGAGTGAACTTTCTTGTTTAGGCTAAAGATTCCCCACTCAAGGATTTCAGGCCCCTGCATTCAGCAATTATACAGCGCATTAACTTTTTTTTTTTTTTGTCTTTTTTCCTTTTTATCGGTACCGGGGATTGAACTCATGACTGCCTGCTTGCAAGGCAGGCGC